CATTGCCACAGGAGCTAAAAGGTGGAAAGAAGAAGTGTCATGGAGCCTACCAATTGCTTTCATTGGGTAGTGTGATCACTAGCATAGTGGGGGAGGGAGAACTGTTGCATTTGGTTACATTGAATCCCTGGGGGAAGTCACTTCAAGCCTTGGAGTTCTGATTTACTTGGTTTAATTAGTCGGAACCTTGACACCTTGACTGTTTCCAAACTTCTTAAAACTGCAGATAGTGGCATGCCACGATTGCCACATGTTTGGTTCCTTTATCCTAGCATTTCTCAACTTCAGCACTTATAAGATGGGTGGACTTCAACTCCCAGAATTCCCACCCATCTTAAAGTTGCTAAGATTGGGGAATATTGCTATTGCTAGATTAGCCAATGCATGGTAGGCAGAGAAAGTCTAGCACCCTCTTCTATTCCCTCAAGTTAAGGAGATGGAAAGTCCAGACAGCATAGGGCAAGATCAGAATGTCATACTTTCAATTACAATATCTGTGGGTGTCCTTGGTGCACTCTGAGTTTGGTTGCAGAAGCAAACCACCAGGCTCAGAAAGCTCCAAGGACCCCACCTTTCAACTCTGAGCTACAAATATTCCCTTCTATTAATTACAACTTCATTAAGGGATGGGGGGGGGAATCAACATGATCCCTTGCTGATTCTTCATTTCTGTCTGGAAGCCACTGTAGCCTTTTGTCTACCAGAACCAAAGCATACAGGGAGCAGAACTCTCACCGTAACCTTTGCTTCTTCATTTGCAGATTAGTCACTGGCAAAAGAAAATCACGCTCACATAAATTAATCCAAGAGCAATTTTCACACTAGAAAGCAAAAAAAAATACAAAATCCAGGAACTTCTGTCTCCATTGGTAGCAGAATAGACTTCAGAGAAATAAATATTTCTAATCATATAAACACGCATTCATGGATGGTATTTGTATCATGTGTACCACAGTAGAGTTCATTAAAGAGGTTTTTAAAAAAAACACACAGTGAGGGATATTACTTGCTTTCTAATGTATCTAGTATGTTAACTTCCATGTTCTTGACTTACTTTCTGTCAGGTTGCCAGATGACTTCTCTATCTTAAGTGCAATGTGTCCTTACATCACTTCATTACTTGGAGCCTTTGAATCATCCCAAACACTAGAGCTACCCCATCTGAACTGCAAAAATCCAGATAACCACTAATAATAATAATAATAGTAAAGTTGGAAGGGACCTTGAAGGTCATCTAGTCCAACCCCCTGCTCAGGCAGGAAACCCTATACCATTTCGGACAAATGGCTGTCCAGTCTCTTCTTAAAAACTTCCAGTGTTGGAGCATTCACCGCTTCTGGAGGCAGGTTGTTCCACTGGTTAATTATTCTAACTGTCAGGAAGTTTCTCCTTAGTTCTAGATTGCTTCTCTCCTTGATTAGTTTCCATCTGTTGCTTCTCGTCCTGCCTCCAGGCGCTTTGGAGAATAGCCTGACTCCCTCTTCTTTGTGGCAGCCCCTGAGATATTGGAACACTGCTATCATGTCCCCCCTTGTCCTTCTCTTCATTAAACTAGACATACCCAATTCCAGCAACCGTTCCTTATATGCTTTAGCCTCCAGTCCCCTAATCATCTTTGTTGCTCTTCTCTGTACTCTTTCTAAAGTCTCAACATCTTTTTTACATAGTGGTGACCAAAACTGGATGCAGTATTCCAAGTGTGGCCTTACCAAGGCATTGTAACTCGTATTAATACTTCGCGTGATCTTGATTCTATCCCTCTGTTAATGCAGCCTAGCACTGTGTTGGCCTTTTTGGCAGCTGCAGCACACTGCTGGCTCATATTTAGGTGATTGTCCACTTCCTGAGGCTCCAGGGAGAGTGTCAATGATGATAACTCGTTCCACGGTGGATACGACATGAACACGTTAACCAAAAAGAACGGATTTACATCTTGGATGCTTTTATCACCATTGAATTTCATTTTGTTAGATAGTGCCCAGTGTTCAAGTCTGTCCAGATCCTTCTGTATCTTAAGCCTGTCTTCTGGAGTGTTGGCTACAATGAGAGGGCAACAATGAGAGCATATCAGTTCGATGCCACCTAATAGTTGTTCAGCTTTTTACAGGTTTTAGTCATACTGATGACTTTTTTTTATGAACCAAGAGTGCAGCAACTCTGCCTTGCATCGCATTTATCAAATCCACAATCATGTTAATGAAATGGTCTCATGCTTTTTCTACCACACATGAAAAGGACAGGGTTCATATTTTCTATTGGTTTACTGTAATTCCACGTGCTTCTTGGGTGCTTCATAACATAATTCTTTCACTCTGTTCTAAGCAGTATCCGTATCACCTTTCTTACTTCCATTCTGCATTCATTCCATTCAGAGAACAATCAATCTTTTACTACTTTTTCATACAGGAATCATTTTTTTTCTTCCTGCAGTTGTATGATTTTCACTATAGTTACTTTCATCTCTTTTTCTCCCTTGTCCAGTTTTTCCCAAGACTCACTCTTAATACAATCTAAAATGATCTGCCCTAAAGTCATGACTTTCCATTAGGCATTCATCCTGCTTGACTGATGCTCTGTCTTTCAGCATAAACAATCGTGCTGTTATTTCAGCAACACAAATTTGGGAACAGAGGCAGCTGCAGGATTGGAGCCTTTTGTCCAAATGATGGAAGTAGTGTTGCAACACAAACCCCACCCCTTTCCATATAGACAGTGCTTTTTTTCTAAAAAAAAAAAAAAAAGGTGCCGGAACTCACACACATCACACAACCCACCTTGCCTACCCTACAAGGTTCCATCCAAAAAAGGTGCCGGAACTCCGTTCTGGGTGTTCTATGAGAAAAAAAGCCCTGCATATAGGATATGACCTTCATCTGCTTGACTAAATGACTGTCAGTTCCATTTTGGAAAAAAAAATGCTGCCATGTGATTCTCTGGTTCATTGGACCATGCTCAGAGAAATACAATCTTGAGCGGGTGCTAAATCCAAATGCATTACAACACATATTGTAGATTTATCTCTGGAAAGGAACAGAATACACTAAGGTGGCCAACTTGGAACAGCTTTGCCAAACAGATCAAAATTAGACTCATTGAACTTACAAGAGTTCTTCTGTCTTGGAGTCATTTCAACCTAAATGTCTTCTTCTCTTGTTTTATGTGTGGAAATATTTTTTGCTTCTATTTAGTTAATGATTCAAGAAAGAGGAACTCCTTCTGGCTGTTAGTCTCATAATCTAGCACCAGGAGATTGTCAAAGCTGTAGCGCAGGGTACCAGAGCCTCTCTGCTGCATCTCTTTGGACCATGCTGAATTAGGAGTGACTTTACAATGTGTCCCTTTCAACAGAAGCTTCCACCATATTGTGTACAATGACAAGCACATCTGAAGTACTGTATGTAGGAAAAGGGCTGTTGGTGAGTTGGTAGCAGTTTCTATCACACCCTCAGCACCGAGAAGAACCAGATCATACGAAAGCTATGTGGGAAGGGGATGATTCAGATGACGAGGTGAGAAGCAGCCACAGCGGCAGTATGCTGGCCAGACAGGAGGTGGTTTAATTTCCTGAAAGGACTCAGGTTGCAGATGTTAATGATTGCTGCCCTAACTTGGGAAGGAGGGAAGAATGGGTCTAGCTGCTGTCCCTCAGAGTTGCCCATTTAACATAAGATAAGATAAGATAACCTTTATTGTCATTTTTTTACTGTGGGCACAACGGCACACATCAAAAATGAAATTTAGTTGCCCGCTCTCAAAATGAAACATATACATGACACACACCTAAACATACTATGAACAACATATGTATAGACCCACACCCCTACATATACGTAGCAAATAAATATTAAATACTGTCCATCTTGAATATATAATGGAAGGAGGAAGCTTGAGAGTTCACAAGGTTAATGCTGTATGGAATGAAACTATGGCTGAATCTGGATGTTCTGCTACGGATACCACGAAGCCCCCTCCTCCCAGAAGGTAACAAGGAAAACAGGTCGTGAAGAGGGTGTGTAGTGTCCCAGATAATCTTACGGACCCTGCTCAAGCAATGTTTCTGTGCTATGTCCTGGATGGGAGGGAGGGAACTGCCAATGATCTTTTCGGCCATTCTCACCACTCTCTGCACCGCCTTCCTGTCTGAAGCAGTGAATTTGCCAGGCCACAAAAAAGATGTGCTTCGCTATCCCCTACATTATGTAATTCCCATCCTGTTTCTAAGGGTTCACCCAGCTTTCCCTAACTTCAAAATGGAGATGACTCCCTGATCCAATTTAGCTTTCAAGGTGCTTTACCCTAAGGCTAATTAAGCAACTGTGATTCTCTAGATGGGGGTGTTATTCTCCTCCTACCTGTTAATGTTTGATTCTTATTCTGTCATAAAAGGCAAGCAGTGAGATTAAGGGTACAGATTCTCAGGCTATGTCTTCCTCTGAATTAAGCCCAGGAACGGCATGCATTCAGGTTTTCCTTTTCCTCCCAGTTCTGTTCATGCCACAAAGTCCAAGGACTGGAAGAACCATGCTTAGATAAGGACAGGTGTTCAGTCAAGTAGCGCCTATAGAAGTCCCCATTCCTGCCCTACACTGTGACCCAGAGGGCTGTTTGATTTATGCCAGGGATTGATTTCTAGAAGAAAGAAGTACAGGAGCTAAGTCTAAGGACCAAACACCCTGCAAGAGGAAACCCTGGCGCTCTGATTCATTGGGAGAAGCCGTATTTGCTTATTGATAAGGGTTATGAATTTGATACGCAATCAGAGGCACTCAGTTATTGTTTTTTCAGGCTGGCACTGGATTATAAACCCTGCTCTTTTTCAGTGCTGCTAAATATGAATCTGATGTTCTTGAGCTGAAGAACTGGGTCTCTTGGAAAAGCAGGGCTGATTGTTCCCCCTTGGGAAGCTTAGTGGTCATTGCTAATGCAGCAACTGCTCTGCTCAGGTAGGGGTCAGGTATTGCAGCCCCCCCAGATAACCCCCCCTCCCACTTTATCCATACCTTTCATATCGGTGACTGTCACAGTGGCTGTGCTGACGGCTTCACCATGCTTGTTCTTGGCCACACAGCTGTAGACTCCAGCATCAGCCACCTTGCTGTTGAGGATCTGGAGGCTGCCATAGTCCTCTTCTTCTTCCTCTTTGACCTTCTTGTTGGAAGCAAGAGGTACCTTCTCCTTGTACCAGGTCAGGTGTGGCTGGGGGTTGCCAGTCACAACCACCTTCAGCAGGAAGTCATGGCCGATGCTAACAGTTGTGTCTTTCAGCTCCTGCAGAAAAATTGGAGCCGCGGGGCCTCCCTGCTCCGCTGTGACTTTGGCTCTCTTAGGAGGGATGGCAGGGCTTGGAGGAGCTCTGCCGGGGCCCCGTCCTGTCTGCCCGGCTTCTTCTGTGCCATGGATGAAAATATTCTGCTCCTGAGCTTTCTGCATGGTTTAGGGCCTCACTGACTTTTACACGGTCTTTAGTTGCAGTGATGTTGCATAAGACACACACACCCCCAATCTAGGATTCTGCAGTCTCTCAGTCAGATAGGGCCCCGTGCAGCCCCCCGGGAGCTGTTTCCCTTCCTTGATGTTCACCCTCTCTGTGTGAGACCCCCCAATTGCTGGGCATCTGCCAGGGGGCACTGACGCTGCTCCAGGTGCCTGCCCACCCAGCCTGACAAGTCCCAGAAGGTTGCTATGCTGCCAGGCAGGGGGTTATTTTTAGGATGGTCTCAGGTTGCAGCCAGCCCATCCCAACACACTGAGGGAGCTAGACTCTTTGCACAGGGGCACAATCCTCCCAGTTCACACAACCCCCATGCCCTCATTCTGAAACTCCTAACATCTTTACTGGTTTTTTTTCCCGGTCCCACTACTCCCCATTCCACTGAATTACCTCCCCCCACTCTTTTAGAGGAAGGGAAATCCACAATGAAAAAGCCTCCAGCTCCGGTTTAGTTCCTCCCTCCCTCGCTTCCTCCCAAATAGCAGCTGTTTTCTGACATGTCACATTCTTTGACCGAAGCTGAGAAGAGCAGAGTGTATGACTGGAGTAGCTTAGCTTCTCTAGCAAAGATAAAAGTGGGTGGATACAGTTTGCCAAATCGGGACTGAGGGACACAGGGGGCCTCTTTGGCCCAGCCCCCCCCCCCTTTTCTCATTTCAAAGACAATTCACACTGGGCACACTTCAAATGCAGGATGGAAATACAGTGTTCCTTTCTACGATCCCAGGGAAAATCTTTGAAGAAATGATCTCTTCCCGAATTCTAAACAAAAGCCCATTTCCCCCTCTATATTCACTTCTAAAAAATTTTATATATCCCACTTTTTGTAAGAGGAATTGCAGACTGTACATAGTGTGCTGTCCTCCTATTTTTCCCTACAACAACCCTGTGGATTGAGGAGAGAGAGAGAGAGAGAGAGAGAGAGAGAGAGAGAGAGAGAGAGAGAGAGAGAGAGAGAGAGAGAGAGAGAGAGAGAGAGAGAGAGAAGAAGAAGAAGAAAAAGAAGAAGAAGAAGAAGAAGAAGAAGAAGAAGAAGAAGAAGAAGAAGAAGAAGAAGAAGAAGAAGAAGAAGAAGAAGAAGAAGAAGAAGAAGAAGAAGAAGAAGAGGAGGAGGAGGGGGGGAGAGGGAGAGAGCGAGCAGCTGACATCCCCCCCCCCCCGCAATCACCCTGTGAGCTTCCATGGTTAAGGACAGACTAAAACCTGGGTCTCCTTATTCCTAGGCCTTAACCACTACATATTACACTGGCACTCTCACACACAGTTGTGCCAAATATTCTCCGTGATCCAGAGGATGCAGTAAAGAGGATCTAGGGCAGTGGTTCTCAACCTGTGGGTCGGGACCCCATTTGGGGTTGATCGACCATTTCATGGGGGTTGCCAAGCAAGGCTGTCCGCCATTTTTTTTGACCGCCATTTTTTTCCCCTTTTCCGGCGGGTGCCTTACCTCCCTTGGGCTGGCCAGCTGGTGGTCGGCCTGCTCCGTCTCTGCTGCTTGCCAGCTACGCCTCGGCCAGCGCAGGGGGCGGAACCACGCATGTGCGGCGCTCCCAGGCAGGGAAAGTCCTCGACTTATGACCGGTTGGGTAGTCCTCAACTTACGACCGGTTTAGTCCTCAACGTACGACCGGTTGGGGTCGCGGCATTAAAAAGGTTGAGAACCACTGATCTAGGGGCTTTAGGTCACAAAGAGAAGTATGATCCGATCTATGCAGGGTCAGCTTTCTGTTGGGCAAATGGAACATTGAGAATCCTGCCAACTGCACTGGATGGAGAGTTTCTAGACAGCAGAGGTCTGGTGATCTGGTGAAGAAAGAGGCAGGATGGTAGGGCCTAAAGCCAAAAGTATAAAAGGTGGCCTTGGCTCAATATTTGTGTAGAAGAGAGGAGGAGAAGATAGGAAAGTGATCACCATCACCTCCATCACCCAGGAAGAAAAAACATTGGGCCATCTATGCATAGAAACAGAAGGATGCAAAACCACAGTGGGCCGTGAAGTCCCCTGGATCACAAGCACGAAATGTAGCTCTTTGGAGCAGCAGCACTTATAACATGTAAGAAAAAAGCAAGTAAGATCTGGGAGAGATGGGTAGTTTGGAAGATTCCAAGCTAGTGAAACTGAAGAAAAGGATAAACACAGTATGAGAAAAGTCTGCTAGAACTGGCTGAAAAAGAATTGACCTAAAACTAAAACAGGGAGGATGCTCATATCACACAAAGGGTGAGTTGTATGAACCCTGGCATAATGACACAATAACGAATTTCCAGTCCTGGGCTTTGTGCTCTGTACCGCAAACCCTTAGAGTCGAGAGACTTACGAATTACATCAGGGAAAAAGACATTTTGAAATTATTCATTTAAAAGACAAACAGAAAGGAATTACACCCTTGAGCAGGGTCTTCAAAGTTGGCATGCCTGGCTGAGGAATTCTGGGAGTTGAAGTTCACAAGTCATAAAAGGGCCAAGTCTGAAGACCCCTGGCCTAGAGAAAGGTTGCTTTATCACTAGAGCATGAAAAAAAATTGAATGATGCTGCCACCTGCTGGAGCAGAGAAATTTTGCTTTTCAAGTGGCTGAATAGAGCTGAGGAAAGCTTACTGCAGGGGTCCCCAACCCCCGGTCCATGGACCGGTACCAGGCCGTGGCATGCTAGCAACCGGTCCGCACAAACAAGCAAAGCCCCATCTGTGGGATGCAGGCAGCACACAAAAACACGCACTCCCCGGTCCGTGGAAAAACGTTTCTCCACAGAACCGGTCCCTGGTGCCCAAAAGGTTGGGGACTTCTGGGTTACTGTACTCAAGTATTGTACACAGACAAGGAAGCATGAAGTTGGTGAAATAAAATGCAACAGGTAAATTACAAACCATAGTCAGTGCACTAATATTAAAACCTCTGCACCGGTTATCAGTTTGGATCCTAGGCACAAAATTGAATTTATGCATCATAAAAGGTAATGGTAAAAGTTTCCCCTGTCCAGTCATGTCTGTCTCTAGTCTATGGGATGGTGCTCATCTCTGTTTCTTAGCTGAGGGAGCCAGTATTGTCCAAAGACACTTCCGTTGTCATGTGGCCAGCCTGATTATACGCCAAGGCGCACAGAATACTGGTACCTTCCCACCAAAGTGGTACCAATTTATCTACTCGCATTTACATTCTTTTGAATAATAATAATAATAATAATAATAATAATTTAATTTGTACCCCGCCCTTCTCCTCATAGGACTCAGGGCGGCTAACAGCCTCATAAAAACCACAATACAATAATACAATAATATCTATATTAAAAACCGAATTAAAAGAAAATATTTAAGAAGGCCAATTATTTAAAATTATCCTTAAAATTGCCCTTAAAAACCCCCGCTAAAATTCCCTAGGCCAGACCCGCTTGTTGAAAAAGCCATGTCTTTAGGGCGCGGCGGAAGGAGGGGAGATCCGGAATCACCCGGATCTCTGGGGGCAGCTCGTTCCAGAGGGTGGGGGCTCCCACCGAGAAGGCCCTCCCCCTGGGGGTCGCCAGCCGGCACTGTCTGGCTGACGGCACCCTGAGGAGACCC